ATGTTGTGGAGCCTGGAGGAAAATCCACAGATAATTTTGCCTTTGGAAATCAGAGGTTATACAGGGTTGTTATTTAGTTTGGTTCTTGGTGGGTTAGGAGGAGTTTGCCTGGATGACTAAGTTCATCCAGGTGAAAGGAAGGAAGGGATAGTGCAGTGATAGGGGTGCAGGCATAGTCAGTGCTTGATTGCATTGTCTTTTTCTCCCTCCTTCATCAGTATAAGCCTGATCTTCTCCCTCACACCAAACAGAGCTGACTCTAGCTGGATCCTTATTGGCCCTTACCCTCTATGATGGGATTGAAAACTCGAGGCCACTGTGTCATTTATGACATTAGTGTTTCTAGAGGTCCCAAAAGCAAAAGGGTCTAGAAATTGCATTTATTTAAAGAATTGTTATCGCTGAAGAAACTTACCTTCAGAGAGGTTAAATTACTTATCAAGATCACACAGCCATGGAGTAGGAATTCAAATCTACATATTATGACTCTAAAAACAGTGATCTTTTCACTAAATTTTCCAATTTGTTGTGTATGTTTGCTTGTTTGTTGCTAATTGGAACATACTACAATTGTATGGAAGGCAAAAGATGAAGCTTTCAGCTCCTTCTAAGATTTACAATCTGGGAAACCTTATATAAGGTCTCCATGAGTAGGGGCTGACTTCACCTCACTTAACAACACAATTTGAAGAGTATTCTTCAAGTTGAGAACTTCTCTTCTTTAGGCTTCTTCTCCACTCCATAATGCCATTGACTGGTTTATGGTTAATATAACAATAATAAGTGTTCTATTTTTAGCCACCCTATTTTATGTAAGAGCCACTCTTCCCCTCTAGTCAAATCTGAACTGCTTTCAGTTGTTTTTGTCAAAGGATGTGGAAATTAGTTCCAACAGAGATTTTTCCTGTTAATCACAAAGGTTCTGAATGATGTTGTAGATTAATCTATTAGTCCCCTTAAACTATACATGAGCCAGAGTACCTTAGCCAAAGGTACTGCAAAGTGAACTTTGCTTCTCTTATGGTTTTAAGTTTCAAGACTTCCCTCTCTTCTCTCCTAAGTGCAGACATTCTATGTGAACCCTGTTTTGCTTTAAAAAACAAACGCTTCCTTTCTTAAGACAGTGGTGGTGGTGGCTGTGTGCCGTGGAGTCGGTTCCAACTCGTAGCGACCCTGTACAGGGTTTCCGAGACTGTAAATCTTTATGGGAGCAGAACGTCTCATCTTTCTCCTGCAGAACGAATTATTGGATTACCAGAAAAGTTTATGAACATTTACTGATATTTTCCCCATTCTATATTCATCTCCAACCAAATGCAATTTGCATGAGGATTGGACAACAGAAGGTAATAGAAAACAGATTGCCTCTCTCCCTTTTCTTCTTAATGTGAGCTATCTGAAATTAGCCCGGTGCAAGAGTTTCAATGTCAAACATTTGTGAGCCAAGTGATTTCATTTGTTTAAGCATTTTGGTTGCAAGGTGAATAGGTACATCTGGTGTTTGATCCCCATGCAGCCAGTTATGCTTTCCCAAAGATATGCTCAGCCAGTCTAGTGGTAGTTCCACCTTGCTCTGCAGAAGAAACAGCTTTTTAGTTCACAGTAACCACTACTTCCTCAGGTATGCTTCCTTATTTCAAACTCTTAGGATGCATTTTGCCAATTGAGTGTAACTGTGTTAAGCAGCACTCTTTTATGTGGTGCTTAGATTATCTTAGATCATCTGGTACCTATTTTTACAGTTAGGAAAATTATACTGGGACACTAATTTAACAGCTAAGTATGAGGCCTCACTGATCCATCCAGGAGTAGATGGGGGTGGGGAGCCACAGAAGGTTCAGGATGCTGTTTGAGGTGGAAACCAGGAAAATCACCAGAGCTCACTTCCCAAATAGCCCTTGATGGTGGTGTCAGAGAACATGTGTTCTGAGCAAGTCTTGGATTTCTGATGCTGTGGGGAGGGTCACATTTAGATTCTAAATTATGTCCAGTAACTAGGCAATTGGCCAATATTGATAGCTACAGGGAGACATGCCATTTTTCAACATAATCATGGTATTTTAGAACAAAATCAAGATGGAAGTATGGATTGAGAAGAGCACTTTTCTTTCCTTGGTTGGGATTTTTATTTTTCTAGATGTTCTTGTTGATTTCAGGTATGTGGAAAATCATGACTTTCTCTTAACGCATTCATTCAACAAACATTATTGAATAATTTACCGTACTGACACTGGGAATATAGATATAATTAGATCATGCTCCCTCAAGAACTTCTGAGGCTACTTGAGGAGACAATCAAGTAGATCATTAATGACAGCTTAGAGCTAAGAGTCAGCAAGGCATAGAGAAGAGCTGTAGCAGCTCAGGGCACTAGGTTAACCCAGAGGACAGAATTACAGATTTCCTGGGAGAATATACTTTGGACTGAGTCTAAAAGGGACAAATGGGAAGAAAGCCCAAGAAGTCAAAGAAAAGGTTAACTCAAAGAGTGAGCAGGAAACGAGAAGTCCTGTAGAACCCAAAGGGAAAGGATTCCAGTTGAAAGAGCAGGTGTACCCAGAGTAAAAATGAGGCTGGGTCACAGCTGGAGCTGTAAGAGGAGAGAATGGGGTGAGTAACAACCAATCAAGTCTAAGAAGAATCATGTAGGAAGTTTAACCAGCAGAGAGGCTTCAATGATTTAATTATGGAGAGTTTGGTCAGTCTGGGAAGCGTAGTCAGAGGAAGAAGGGAAGGGTGGTCAGAGGAAAAATGGAGGGATTAACTCTTACCAGAAACCTGATAACAGTGTATATGGTCTGCCTCAAATAAGCCATTTTCATAGATTTAACTGTAAAAATAAGACACTTTTGTAAGGATTCTTCCAGAGCTGTGCAAGATGGCAGTCACTAAATAGATGGCTCTATACTATTTATAATTAGAAGCTGTGGTGGTTCTGCTTGCAATATGTTGAACATGTTCTTCCCCCCTTTTTTTTTCTATCCCCAGGCCTTTGCATATTTTATTATAATTCTTGACTTTGTCTTCTTGAGCTCCCCTTTGAAAATTTCTATTCAGTTATTTTACTTCATTTCTTCCATTCACTTTCACTAGTCTATGCTCAAGATCAAGTTTCAATGTCTTCTGATATCCACCTTGGTCTTTTCTTTCTTTCTTGCTTGCTTTTTAATGATCTTTTGCTTTCTTCATGTATGATGTTCTTGATGCCATCCCACAACTCCTCTGATATTTTGAGATGGTCTCTAAGTTCAGTTGATATGCTCTAAGTCAAAGAGTTCTGGTAGTGTAGTGGTTACAAGATGGGCTGCTAACTAACCTCAAGGTCAGTAGTTTGAGACTACCAGCCGTTCTGCAAGAGAAAGATGAAGTTTTCTGCTCCTGTAAAGATTTACAGCCTTGGAAATCCTGTACAGGGTCGCTATGAGTCAGACCCAACTCCACAGCACACCAACACACACACACACACACACACACACACACACACACACACACAGATTTGCAGCCTCAGAAACCCTGTACAGGGTTGCTATGAGTTGGAACCATACACTAGGTCATATTTTGGCTTTTGTGGACTTGTTTTAACCTTTTTCAGTTTTAATTGATGGTCTGTTCAACCATCATCCTGTGGCCTTGTTTTGGCTGATGATATTGTCTCTTCTGACAGATGTTGTCAATTTGATTCCTGTATATTCCATCTGGAATTGGAAACCCTATGGGAAAGTTCTATTCAATCCTATGGGGTAGCTATGAGAAGGAATTCAACTCAGTGGCCATATGCTTGATTTTAGTTTTATGCTTGTCAAGATTTTATCAGGAAGGCAGTGGGGAATTGGTGAAGGCTTTGGAGCAGGAGAGAGGTGATAGAACTGAGGCTTTAGGAAGATGCATATGGTCTTAAAACAGGTATTTAGAGGGAGACTGATGTTTCCTGCATTAAAGGCAATTGATTTCCCTCCACTTCTATGTCTGAAGGGAGCACGGTGGTTCTATAGGGAAAGCACTGGACTGCGAACCACAAGGTCTGTGGTTTGAACCCATCAGCTATTATTCCACAGGACAAAGTTGAGTCTTTAACTCCTGCAAAGATTTATAGCCTCAGGAACCCTATGCAGGGTCCCTGTGAGTTAGGACCAATTTAAACAGCACTTAACATCAGCAACAATCTGTGTCTGGAAAGGACCCCTGGTGATGCTGTAGGATAAGCGCTGGACTGCCAACTGCAAGGTCAGCTGTTCAAATCCATTAGCTATCCCTAGGGAAATCAATGAGGCTGTCTGCTCCCATAATGATTAACAGTCTCAGAAACCCTGTATAGGGTCGTTGTGAGTCAGAGCCAGCTGGATGGTAGTGGGTTGCATTGGTTTGGTTTTCTATATCCAAAAAGCTAGGTACTTATTTGTTGTTGTTAAGTTGTTAAGTGCTGTCAAGTCAGTTCCGACCCACAGCAACCCTGTATAGGGTTACTGAGGAGCAGCTGGTGAGCTTGAATCACTGACCTTTCAGTTCAAACGGCTTTACAGTCTGGCGCATTAACCCACAGCATCACACCAGGACTCCTTATTTAGAATTCCCTAAAAGAAGTAGCTCTGGTAGCGTAGTGGTTACGAATCGGGCTGCGAACCTTAAGGTCAGCGGTTCGAAACTACCAGCCGCTCCGCGGGAGAAAGATGAGGCTTTCTAC